AAGCCAAAAGGAGAGTCTCTGCTCGCTCGGAACTCCAGGCTTTCGGTCTCGAGGTCTGGCTGTCCTCACACAGCGGCCCGCGGGAAGGTTAAAAATAGGCCCTCGCATGTGGAAATCGCTCCACAGCTTGCAAATTGCTTTCACCGCCTCAATGGCCTCCATCTCATCGGGTCCCCAGCGCAGCCCTGTGATGAGAAAACTGAGGTCCAGACAGGCCAGCAGGAGGCGGGAGGGGGAGGGCGCCCGGGGCACAGGTCTTCTCATCAGGACGCCCTCCTCTCCGCACAGCCCACCCTCCCTTCCTCCACTGCCACCGCCCGCCGTGGCCACGTGACCCCCGCCGACACCATGGCCACCCCCCACCTCACCGACAGCCGGAGAACAGAGAACACGTGTCGTCTCCCTCCCTCATCCAGGCCCCTGAGAGGCCCGGATCGCCCCGCCCAGCGGGTCTACCTCGGCCTCTCCCCACGCCGGCCAGCCGGGCCCTGCGGGCGGTGCCGTGAGCATCAGCTACTGAGCCAGGCTCTGCCACGCCCTCACGGGCGACGTGGGTAAGCCTCTTGCCTCTTCTGTGTCCCTTTCTTTACGTTGGGAACCATAATAGCAATGCCCACGGCGTAATGTCTCCGGAAGGAAGCAAGGAAGCAATGCACCGTGAATAAGTAATGAGTCTGAGGGGGTCCGACACGGTGCCTGATCCAGTGCAACTTCGGCAGACGGTGGTCCTCGTAGTCGCTACCTAACAACAACGACAGAAGAAACAGGAAGCTACGCCCAGTGAGCAGGGCCAGCAGCTCCCAAGGGAGGCAGCCACCTCCGTCCTGGCGTCTGGCCGCTCCCCGAAGGTCTTTCCATCGAGGGAGGGAGCAGAGCGTAACCTGCACACGCACACCCACTCCATTCATCAGCCCTAACAAGCCTCTGCGTCGGCCCGCATTTATCAGCGTGGGGCGCGCACATGCGGGGGGCGGGGGAGTGGGTTGTATGGGTGTGCGATTAGTCATGCTAATGGCATTTATTATCCGACGAGTAGAACTAATTTGCAATAATTTCATCACCCACAAACAACCTGCAGGAAGGAGAAGCCAGGTTGTCGGATCTGCAGGCACGGGCTCCGGGCTCAGCGGTCGGTCCTGTGTGACCCTGAGCTGGAGGGATTCTCAGGGCAAGGCCAGCCGGCGACTCGGGGGCGCCCGTCTTTCTAAGCCGGAGGTGCGCCGGCGGGCGTGGCTCCGTGGTTGAGCGTTGACCTAGGAACCGGGAGGTCACTGTTTGATTCCTGGTCAGGACACATGC